GGAGATAAGTGATATCTCATTGTGTTTTTGATTTGCATTTCCCTGATGATTAGGGATGTTGACCATTTTTTCATATGTTTTTTAGCCATTAGTCTGTCTTCTTTTGAAAAGTTTCTGTTCATGTCCTTTGCCCACTTTTTAATGGGGTTGCTTGATTTTTTTCTTGCTGATTTGCCTGAGTTCTTTATGGGTTCCAGTTATCAGCCTTCATTGGATGAAATGTCTTATTCCACCTTCAGCTGTAGGCTTGCCCAGTTCACTTGCTTATCAGAGGATCTCTCTGCATGCTTTCTCCTTTGTACTGGAGTAGATTTCGTTTCTGGGTTCTTCCTAACTCTGGTGCAGCCAGGAGTGGTTTCTCTTGTCCTGGTCCAGCCTCAACATTAAGCAATCCCTATGTTCTTCAGTTTTGGAGATGCGGCTTTCTCAGTAATCTTGCCCCTCCCCAGTAGTAAAAGATTAATGATCTGGATCCAGGATGGTTGCCTGTCCCTCTCCCAGGGGTGGGTAAATTTTTCCTTTTCCTCAGCCTCAACAGGTCTTCACCAGTGCCTTGAGGGAGACAAGGTTTGTTGGTCTTCCCCCAGCGGCTGAAGGATTTTGTTCCTTGGTTTGAGCAGGGCTCAAGCCTGCATCCCTGGAGGCAGACATTCTCCATTATAACAACCTGCCCCCAGTCATTCTCTTGTGTACCTGATACAGGTCCATGGAGAAGAGTCTGTGATGTGTGCAAACTCCCCCCTTGTGTCTGTGGTTCCCAGGGATTTTATACTCTCACGTGTAAAATGTCCTGTAGCACTTGATTAAAATATTGAGAGATTCTACTAATTATAGTGAATTTGTCTTCATCCTGTAGGTGGAAGGGAAGTCAGTGTTCACATCCCGCATCTCCTACAAAGTGTCTGTCTTCCCTCAGATGACAAGTAATTGCCCTGTAATTTCAGCTCTTCTGTGTGGGAAAAGTAATGATTCTAAGAGTAATACCCCTTTTTCTTGCTGTCAGGGTAGAACTGACACTCTTAGAACTTTCTACATCCCAGAGGAATCCAAAAACTACCCTTGAGATTCTGAAAGAGACAATTTTAGGATGACACTTCTGAGACTTATCCCAAGGTCATCGTTGCCTGGGTCTGAAGTGGTCCAGGTTACGAAGCGGGTAAGGCCAGTTGCTGGAAGAGACAGCCTCATGGAGGATCCTGGGAGGCTACTGTGTACATGGAGGACGGTGCTGCAGACCTGTGGAAGGCTCAGTGAAGGCCATGGAACACGGCCACAGGTCACCACGGCACCTCTCCCTCTTCCCCTCATCCAGGTTCATTCGCAGCCCGTGCCACCTCCCCCTCCACAGGTAACTCCAACTTGAGGGAGCAATGCTGCACTCCGGCCATCCAAAATCCTGCTATTGGAAGTAGTTGGAGGCTCAGAGACATGGGGCATGTCCGGAGTCCCCTTAGCACCTCCCAGGGCCCAGCCTGCTGGGTGCTGCTTGTCTAGAGGCCAAGCCATCCCCAGCAGAGCCAGCTTCCTAGTGCTGGTGCCTCCCTCTCCATCCTGCTCTCTCTGAGGAGGAAGCGTTAATCTCTAGCCAGAGACATAAACACTGATTTGGCCTCCAAAAACATTTATTCCCACAATTGAAGTCACAAGTGCCAAAACTGCCCCTCCCTGGCCTGTGTCCACTCCCAGTGGACAATTCTCCAGCCCCACAATGCGATGCTCTCTGACCCACGATCACCTTCCATAGAATAGCCCTGTCTTGGCTTCTCCAGGCTCTGGAGGCTGGTGGGGCCTCCAGTTCATAGCTCAGTGTGTTCTGTCTGGGCTGCATTCTCTGCTGCTTCTGTGCCCAGGAGCTTGGTCCAGAAAGCCACTTCCTTGTCCTTCAGCTTCTGGGCTGCCTGGGTGGGGACATCAATCTGCAGGTACCCTTCCTTCTGGTTGTACGCTGGCCAATGGGGCAGTCCCTCCCCATTGGGGTTCCTGAGAAAAGAATAAAATAGAAACTGCTTAAAGCTGCTGTATGGTCCAAGCAATCTTCTGAGATTGGCAGGATCTACTGACTCATGTCTTCCAAGAGGCTCGTACACCTCCAGAGACGGGGAGCTCACCATGTTCTGGGGCAGCCTGTCCGTTTTCAGAGAACTTTCATTGTCAGAGCACCATGCTCACAGGGCAGAGAGTTTGATCACTCAAACTTTAGAAGCTGTCCCTCCCCATGGATACACCTTCCCCCACTGACTCTGTCCCACCTTTGCCACCAGCCTCACCCGTTCCGAGCAAAGTTGGCCCAGAATTTCATCACCATCTTGCTAAGTTTGATCTCCTCTTCCAAAGCACCTTCTGTGGGAACAAGAAAAAACCCTTTGCTACTCAAAGCTGATTCACGGTTCAGCAGCGTTAGCATCACTTGGGAGCTTGTTACAAACAAGAGTCTTGGCAAATACTCTGTACACACTGAGTCACAGTCTGAGTTTCAAGAAGATCCTGGTTAATCCCTGTGCACTGTAAGGTTGTGGACGACTGATCTAGAACTCGGCAATGGGCGTGCAGCCAATCCATGGGCTAGCTGCCTTTGTCCTCTGTGACCCCCACCTGCCTCCTCCCCACTCAGGGTCCCAATGCCACACCCCGGTCTTTGCTCTGCAGCAACCCCTCCTCCCAGGGTTGCCCCTCTTGGGACTTTTCTCAATCACCTACATACAGCCACATTGTCATAGTCTGAAAAATGGCAGAGCTGCAAAGGTCCTAAGGCATCACCTGACCGAGAGATGCCCAGAGGCACTGGCGT